TGCAAAAAGTGATAACAGATATTTGTGCTGGTTGGCCTGGAAAACATATACCTAGCCCTTACTCTCATTTCAAGGAAGAGCTGTCTGTACTGGATGGCATTTTGTTCAAAGGCTTACAACTTGTTGTTCCAGCAGTGCTAAAGAAAGACATGTTAAACAGAATACATGAGGGGCATCTAGGCATTGAAAAATATAAAAGGAGAGCAAGGGATACTCAATATTGGCCCAACATAAATAATGATACAGAAGATGCTGTAAAAGCTTGTAAAATGTGCCTAAAGTACAGATCAGCACAATGAAAAGAGCCCATGCTGATCATAGAGGAGCGTTTAGCTTCATGGTATCAAGGAAAAAATTATATATCAGTGCTGGATTATTATTCTCACTATCCTGAAATTGCATTGCTCAAAAGCACAACCACAAACCTTGTCATAACTCACATCAACTGTATTTTTGCTAGACATGGGATTCCACAAATTGTGAGAACAGACAACGGATCTCAATTCAACTGTCTTGAGTTTAAAGAGTTTGCAAACAATATGGAGTCCATCACAACACTTCAAGTCTTAAATACCCACTATCCAATGCTTTGGTGGAAAATGAAGTACAAATAGTGAAGAAATTGTTGAAAAAAAGCTAGGTTCACACACTGATGTTTCCCTGTCTCACTTAAATTACAGGGCAACACACATGAAATATGGATTTTCCCCAGTAGAAAAGCTGTTTAACAGGAAACAATATCAGGCTGCCAAATCTTGTGGATGATGCTCATCAGAATGAAAACCAAGACGTGAAAATATTAAAGAAATTCAACAAACTCAAACAAAAATGGTACTATGACAGGGGTTCCAGGGAGTTACCACAACTGAACAACAAAGATATGGTGCTTATGTCAGATGGGAGAATGTGGAAACAAAAAGCACTAGTTTCCAATCTAGTAACTCCCAGTTCCAATAAAATAGTGACACTGAAAGGACGGGTATTTAGAAGGAACAGATGGCACTTGCAGCTCATAAAGGGAGAAAAGAAAGAGCATTACCAGATTCACCAAAGGAAACAGAGCTAACATCAAAGCAACAAGAAACAACAGAGGAGACTGAAAATGACACAGAAGTGGAGACGTCTGAGCAAGGAAACCAAACAAGAACTGAACAAGACGGATTGAGAAGGCAGAGAGTCTGAGAAGATCATTTAAAAAGCCAACACAAAGACTAATAGAGACCTGTTAAAATGTGCTTTAACTATGTCCAAGGCTTATGATGTGGCGACCATCAATCCTCCTGGATCATGGTATATGCATGAGGGCCACCCAGACCTTTAATGAATATACCTGGGCAGGATCTTTTTTTTTTTTTTTTTTGGAAGAGTGGAGGCTTGCTTTAACTATGGGTTGAGCTAAACTGCCAATGTTAGTATTATATGGGGATATGTTGCATGTTGTAAAGGGGGAAGATGTATAGTGCTATGTACAAGCTGTTACATTTACCCAGGGATTGCAGGAGGGAACAGCAGAGCAGTAGGCTAAACAGGCTTTCTGAATAAACAAGCGTTATCATTTTATCAGTTTAACTCCTTGGTCTTTTGATAAGAAAGACTCCTCCTAGTGCTCAGTGTCACCCATGCAGGGATGATGGGGCCCATTCTCTCTGTTCCAGGTCACAGCGCTATGCCCTCGTTTCTGCAGTTCATGCTGTTCCTCAGCAGGGAACTCTGCATCTCCCTGGGACCCTGGAGGATCCAGTTGTCAGCCCTTTCACATATTTGCAGGACATTGGTCAGGTATGCCAACCATTCCAGCTGGGAAATCATCAGTGCCTGACTGGATGGATCAAAAACCCTGCTAGGCAGAGGCCCTACAGATTGAGGCAGGCATTTTGCTAGTGCTTCAGTCACAGGCCTCTGGGTTAGAGAGAAATTGTCCTGTAAGGGAAGCTGAGGATCTGATCTCTGTGCTTCCCTGTATGCCAAGGCTCTAGGTGCTAAAAGCCTGGATTTCAGGTTGGACTCGAGGCCAACTGCAGGGCGCGAGGGGCTGCAAGTCACAATCTGCAGGATGTGTTTTTGGCACAGGCCAAAGTGTATTTTCCGCAGTTCTCCTTAGGGCCCAGACTGGAGGAGGACCATGGGGGTTTTGTCTCACTTGCTCTCTGACTGTGTCTCTGTGACTAGCACTGTTGTGCCTCATGTTGCAATACTAGTCAGCCTTGTCTTCTGCAAGTCTTGCCCAGGCAATAAGCTAAATAGCCTGGGATTTAAACTAACTCTGAGCTATCCTGCAGGATGTTAGGCACTTCAAGTTGCTGTAAAGTGCAGTTTTTCTACTTTCTCACAAAAGCCCGGCTCGGGAAGATAGCGGAGGTTTTTGTCTCACTTCTCCTCTGACTGTATCACTGTGACAAGCATCACGGTCCCACATACCACAGTAATAGTCAGCCTCGTCCTCCGCAAGGGCACCGGCAATGGTCAGGTAGCCGGTGTTACTGGACGTGTCTTTGGAGCCAGAGAAGCGAGCGGGGACCCCGGAGCCCTGGTGCTTGTCAGAATCTGAGTAGTAACACAGCAGGTACCGAGGGGGGGTCCCAGGTTTCTGCTGAAACCAGTACACTCTGTAACCACTGATGCTGGTCCCACTGCTCACGGTGCAGGAGAGTTTCACAGTGTTTCCTGGGGACACTGACTCTGCGGGCGGCTGCGTCACCGCAGACTGGGAGCTGGAACCTGGAAAATATCGTAGAAACCTGTTACAGCCTGTTTGTGTGTCTCCCAGCCCTGGACACAGAGCTTGTGCATTGGCTTTAGCAGTAACTTAAATGCATGCTTAACCCTTCCCCTGTTCCCACCTGTGCACCACACCCCCAGCAGCATCACCCAGACCATGGTGAGGAGATATCAGGCCCTTGGAACTAAAACAGCCAGATCCCCTAAGGATGCCCCACACTATCTGCCCCTTATATTCATCCTCCAGGGTGAGGAACAAGCTCCTCCTTCCTGCTAACCTGTTCTCCTCTGACTGGTCCCTGATACCAGGGTAGGACGGCCTCCTGTAGCCCCAGAAGGTTTCAGACACATGTCAGAGACATTTACCTTCTTTTTAAAGCTTTGAGTTCAAATCATACTGTTTGTAGTTTGGTTAAAGTAAGATGTCTAGTGAAATTGCAGAAGCATGGGTATTATGATTTTAAGGTGTGGGAAAGTTGAAAACTGAGTTGAAGTGTCCTTGATAAAGATGCTTAAGCAAAAATAAAGGGACAAAGAGGTTAGATATTGGATTCCAGACTCAGCTTCTCACAGCCTGAACCTTCTAGCCAATCTGCCTAATCAACTGCACGGTGCTAAAGTGATGTTTCTTTATGGCTCATTATTCTCTGATTTACTGATCTCGCCATAAGAACGCTAAGCTAGTATTGAAAGGCTTATCATAAAGATTCTCTGAGAAGTTTTATATCTACCGTTTCTCATATAAGTGTTTCAAGGTCCAGAAAACGTAAAAGTTTCATCTAAACCAATTCTGGCTGAACCCAGGGAGACAGCAGTGGCTAAAAACACTATTAAAAGTAAAGGAAAAATAACTGAAAAGACCATCCTTTGGCTATGAGGCCTGGACTTCTAATATTACTAGATGAGATGCCCTTCTGCCATGAGCACTGTGCTGAGGGCAAAGCTGTGCTTCCTTGGGGGAGCCAGTGACAGCTAGAGGTGGGGTTTGCTGCCTATTTCCACTCTGAAGTCTTGTTTGGAGTTGTCTGAGCAATCCTAAGGCTTCCTCTTTTACATTCACATTTTCCAGCTCTGCCTGCAAGTTCATGGGTTGAACAAAAGCACAACATTGCTTTCTGGGTACAAGGAAAATGGAACCCAGTCACTCTGCATAGGAGTTTCCGAGCAAAGCTGAGGCAGGGAAAGGAGGCAGAGTGCAGGGAATGTGCATTGGGGCAACAAAGGTCTGCCAGGTTGGGCCCACATGCAGGGGGGCTGCTCTGTGGGAAGCAAGTGCTAGGATGACTCCAGGGTGACTGCTCTGATCCCCACTGTACACAACAGGTTATGTGTTGGGTTTGTTGGCAAAGACCCAGCATTTTCATAAAAAGTAAGGGCAGTAAGGGCCCCTTAACTGATTTTGAAGCTATGTGACAGGCATTAAGTGTCTAACCTGGGGTAACAGAGGAAGGGAAGAGGGCAGGAAGCTACTTCAACATTTCAAAGTAGAACCTGCATGGGGCAAGAGACTGGGATACCTAAGAAGAGACGATGGGCAGAGATGCTGACCCGTGAGAGTCCTGAGAGACCTGGGATGCGTGATGGATACAAGAGGGAGAAGGGATGCAGACTTGCTATAAACACCCAGGGGAAAATGAGGCCTGGGGAACCGCCCTCACCACCTTAGACCTGGGGATCCCCCTAAAGATCTTCTGAATATATGGCTGCAAGGAGACACTGCCCTCAGGATTACATACGATCTGTGCAAGGCTTTCTGTTGCTGCTTTGACTTATTATGCTGCATTTTGACTGAGGCAGAGCTTCGGTTGTTCTCTGGCTTAGAGTCTTGACCTTGGTGGTTTTTAATTGCTTCTTTGTCTTATGCTTAAAATTGCAAATTTCTGTGCTCAATAAACACTCTCATCAGAGAACAGGCTATTCTTGTCCTAGCATTTTATGACACCAGTGCCACTACCTAAGGCTAATATGAAATTTAGTAACAGGTTTAGTAATAGGGGTGGGGGGACTATAAGATCCACCCATTGGGAAGATGCAGGACTTGGTGGTGTGCAGGATCCCCTCAGGGGCTGGGTGGTGCTGAGGGCTGAGAAAAGCTGCCTGGCTCACTGCTCCCCTCAGCCTGGCCTGTCACCACCACAGAACCCATCAGAGGAGCAGCAGCACCTGGAAAAACCTGAAATGCACTGCTGATGTGTTCCTGGGCTGTCTCAACTATGTGTTACTCTCTCCTCTGATAATGAGAGTGGCTGTTCTCTGCAGATCAGTTTGGCCGCATTGTGAAGTCAGCTCTTCCATGACCGAAGGGCTTGGAAGAAGTTCCTGAGGACAGTGCTGATATCCTGCTCCTGGTCCTGGTGCAGAACAGACAGGAAGGCTCTCAGGTCCCTTTAACCAGCCCCAGGATGCCCTTGGGGAGTGAGAGAAATATCTGGCAACACTTTGTATTGTGCCATTCATAGGTGTAATGTTCCCCAAAGAATAAAAGCCAAGTGACTACATGTGGCCTTCATTGGAGGTTTTCAAGATGTTAGCTAGTCACAGGACAGGGATGATTTAGGTGTCATATTCCTTCATGTGCACTGGGCTTTGGACCGGATGTCCCTTGTGGTCCCTGCCACTCCCTGCATTGTAAGATCCTATGATCTTTCTCTGGCTGGGAGGCTGGGGCACAGCAGCTTGCTCCATCCTGAGCTACTCTCCTGGGGACAGGCAGAGAAGCTGCACTCTGTGCCGTTGGTGTGGGCAGGCCCCCTTCCTGCTGTCTTTGCAGAGACAGTGCTCCCAGCCCAGCAGCAGCCAATGGGCAGCACTGAAATGCCCTGGGGAGACCAACATTGCTCATTTTCCCCCAGGCAGGTGACCAAGCAGAGCGCCATGACCAGCCATCTGTTTGGGGGAAGGGTAGGGATGGGCCTGAACTTACACAAGGGTGACTGAAACCTTCCTGCTGTGGCCATTGCCTCCAAAGACTCACGTAAGCGCATGAAAAAAGAAAGCCTGATTAGTGAGGAACCTGGGACCGAGAGAACTAGGGGCTGGGTACAGAACATGGGCCAATGCGCTTCATGTAAAGGTACCTCCTGAGCCATGTGGAGCAGAGCCACCTCTCACACAACAGGGGCCTTGTCAGCAATTAAAAGGAGCTGGACACTGGTGTGGGGGAAGAAAAGGCTGGAGAAGGGCCTGAATGTGGTGGGGGGTTATGTACTGTCCTGCTTCCATGGGGAACGTGGTAGGGGTGAGAGAAGATGTCCAGCAAGAGCAGTAACACAGAACAAAGGTCAAATAGGACATGATTCACTCTCTTCAGTGCCTCATGATCTGGAGATTGAGCTCATGCTGGATCCCAGACCCCCTCTTCCATCCTCAGTGGAGAAACCCTCTGTGGGGGGAAATAGTTATAAGGCTGCAGCGGAGGTGTCTTGGACTCCACAGCATCCTGGAAAGGTCCCTGGTCTGATGGATACCATGACCTCCCCCTGCGTCCCCCATCCTCTGAGCAGAGCCCTTGGTACCAAATGATATTTGGAAAGTTCCCTAGTGTAAACACCAGGTTTGAGTCTCAGTTCCCATCTGACTGTGTCACTGTGGTACTGACTGCTGCTGCTATCCCACACCTGGCAGTAATAATCAGCCTCATCCTGGGCCTGGACTCCAGTGATGGTCAACGTGGCCGTGTCACCAGATTTGGCACCAGAGAATCGGTCAGGGATGCCGGAGGGTCTCTTGCTGTCCTGATAGATCAGCTGCAGGGGGGCACTGCCGGGTTTCTGCTGGAACCACTGTACATAGTAGCTCCTAAAACTGGTCCCTGTGCAGGTGAGCCGGGCAGTCTGTCCCGGGGAGACGGACGCTGCAGGCGGCTGAGTCAGCACGTACTGGGCAAGAGAACCTGGAACTGGGGAGAAAAACAGGGATAATATTTCTAGTCACTGAACTGAGAGTATAACCTGCCTGCAGCAGCCAGTGCAGGGACTGGGAGAAGTGACGACGTCTTTGTCTTATGAGAATGAGTAAAATGTCCCTTGTAAAGTACCTGAGCAGCATGTGAGCAGAGCGAGAAGGAGCGGGGCCCAGGCCATGGTGGGAATCACAACCAGCTCCATGTCCTGAGGCAGCAGGGTCTGTGGCTGGCACCCTCTGACTCTTTCTTAAACCCGCTGAACTGAAGAACAGCCCCTTCAGGCAAATCTGCTTCCTCCTAATTGGCTGCCGGTGTTTTTAACCTCACCTTCCTCTTGTGCAGGGAGAGTCACGCTGCAGAGCACCTTTCTGTGCACGTCCCTATAGCTGCTGGGACAGGAGAGCGTTGTCCCCGCAACACGGAGACAACAGGGCTAATCCCAGCGAGGAGCCCCCAGGCCTGCTCTCTCGCTCGGTTCATGGAGCGCAGAATCCCAGATTGTCCCACCAGGGATGACAAACCGGGCTGAGGGGCTTTGTTATGGCCCTTCAGAGTCCCAGAGCTGGGACCATTTCTACTTAAATGTTGATGCCCGGGGAAGGTATGGGCCGTGGCTGTGACCCCATGCATAGAGGATGCTGGGCACCCCAAGTGTGGCCCAGCTGGCTAAGTTGTGTGGAGGAACAGTAGGGACAAAGGTGTAGATACAGGGTATGAGGGGCTGTCACTTTTCCCTTTTCACGTGCTTGTTCAAATCAGGGAAGCTACAGGGATGGAAGACGAGGAGCTTCCTGGTCAGGGGAGTCTGGGACTATGAGTGTCCAGGGAGCCCCCTGCACTGCCACCTCATGTGGAGTCCCCGGGTGCCACAGAAGAGAAAGAAAGGATCATGCGGCCCCTTTTCAGAGGAATTGGCTAAAGCTCTTCCTCGTGATTCCCCAAAGAACCAGCCTTATTCGGCCTCCTGCTCCTCCTCCGACCCCTTGCAGCCACCCCATAGCATCACTGAAGAATGGGAAACTCCTGGCTCCTCTCAGTCCCTGGCTCCTCTGCTGACCCGTGGCACCCCCACCGCTGGGAGCCCCTTCTTTTCTGTCAGCTCCCGGGAAGAGGGGAGGGTGTTTTCTTTTTTAAAAGAAGAAGGTTATCAGAGTACCGATGTCCCAGTCGTCACAACAGACTCCACTGCAAAACACATGGTCTTCATTTTGCTACTCCCATTCCCTCTGTCCTCACTCGGACTTTACTCTGTCCTCGCTGGGGCAATTCCTTGTCTCTGTCCAACCTGGGACCTTCTCTCCCCAGCTCTATCTGAGCTTCACTGCTTCCCTCAGGCTAAGTCAGCCGCACTTGCAAGAAAACAGTTACAAAACTGTAGTCTTAGCTTGGGAACAAGCTCACGCAATGCACTGAAACATGAAGTCGTGGGGAACCCATCATGGGGGCAGTGTCTGGGCTCTGCTGCCAGGCCCTGACTGCCACGTGTGCATGGGGTGAAAAGGACATCTGGATGTCCTACACAGAGAACTACTTACAAGCATTATTAGCAGTAAAGTCTGCCCACACTGAGCCCCACAGAGTGCTTCCTGGTGGTGAAGCCAGGCTAGGGCTGGCTGCAGGGGGCCCCTCAGGAGAGGGGACTGCAGACCTGAACTGGGCACACTTAGCTGTCTTCATTGTATGGGGACAGAGCACAGGGCACTGCCAAGGAGGTGGGCAGAGGAGGAGCTGCAGGGAAGGGCAGCAGCAAGGGGAGGGGAGAGAGCAACACCACTTCTCCCTCAAGCCTCCTCATGCATCCTCATGTGCTTGGGCCCCACTGGAGATTATGGAGCAGAGAAAAGACGGGAGGGGCCCAGATAGTTGCTCCCTCTCTGAGAACGGTTAGGGTGCAAGAAGCCCCATGGCCCACAGGGTCCCTGTCCCAGGAGCTGCTTGCTCCCCCGATGCTCCCACCATGCGAGCAGCTTCAGGGACCTGTGCACGGCCGGCTCCTAGTGTCAACCATGCAGGGATGATGGGGCCCATTCTCCTCTGCTGTGGGTCTCAGTGCTGTGCACTCTTTTCTGCAGTTCATGCTGCTCTTCAGCAGGGCACTTTGCATCTCCCTGTGACCAGGAGGATCAGGCCATGAGCCCTGCCACAGGTTTGCAGGACATTGGTCAGATATTGCAGCCCCTCCAGGTGGGAAATCATCAGCGTCTGACTGGGTGAACGTAAAGCCCTGCTAGGTTGAGGCCCTGAAGACTGAGGCAGCCATTGCGAGTGCTTCAGTCACAGGCCTCTGGATGAGAGGGATGGTGTCCTGCAAGGGAAGCTGAGCACCTGGAGCCTTAGGTGCTGAGAGCCTGTGATGTCAGGTAGGATCTGAGGCCACCTGCATGGTGCAAGGGGCTGTAATTCGTAATCTGTGTGAGGAGTTTTTTGCACAGTCCAATGCGCAATTTCTGCAGTTCTCCTCAGGGCCCAGGTGAGAGTAGGACCAGGGTGGTTTTGATCTGACTGTGTCACCATGACAAGTGTTACCGTACCACACATTGCAGTAATAGTCAGCCTCATCCTCTGCGAGTGGTCCGGTGATGGTTAAGTAGCAGGTGTTGCTGGATGGGTCCTTGGAAGCAGAGAAGTGACTAGGGAGCCACGAATCCAGGCACTTATCAGAACTGGACTTGTATCTCAGCAGGTATTGCGGAGGAGACCCGGGTTTCTGCCAATACCAATGCACCTCATAGCCACTGATGCTGGTCCCACTGCTCATGGTGCAGGAAAGTTTCACTGAGTGCCCTGGGGGCACTGACTCTGAGGGGGGCTGTGTCAGCAGAGACTGTGACCTGGCACCTGGAAGATACAGTAACAACCTATCAAAATGTCCATGTGGGACTGAGTCCTGGGGACACGCTTGGGCTCCAGGAGAAGCTTTAATGCATGTTTGAACTGCCTCTGATCTCACCTGTGCACCACATCCCCAGCAGCATGAGCAGAGCCCAGCACATGGTGACAATGGTGACAGGCCCTCAGGAGAAAAAGCCCTCTGGCTCTCCACTGAACGCCCCACAGTATCTGCTCCTTATATCTCCCAAGGTATACTCTTACGCTGACCTGCTGTGGTCTGATTGGCTGCTGTCAGAACAGGAGGCTGGTTGTGCGGTGGAAGGAACAAACTACATCCCCGAAATTGAAGGCATCAGTGTCTTTAGACTAACACTGTCCTAGGAGGTCCAGGGGATCGTCTCTGCACGGTACGGCTGCGACCCCGCAGAACATGAGCGTGCAGACAGCAACCCAGCCAGCCAGGGCCATGTCAGCCAAAGGATTGGAGTGGATGTGGGCAGAGCTGGTGCTCAGGACAAGGGGAGAGCAGGGACATCCTCTCCCCAAAAGCCTCTCTTTGCCAGCAGTTCCAGCCACCTTCCTGGGACAGGAACAACCAAGCCCTACCTTGTTGCTACAGCGCTTATTGGTCAGGGGCACTGACCATCTTTTGGGTATGAGCTCCTCCTAGTGCTTGTAACGTTGCTAGCTGATTTCCACTCAGTTCGGCTGCCTTGTGAAGTCAGCTTCTCTGTGACTGAAGGAGTTGGAAGTTGTTCCTGAAAACAGTCTTGATAGTTGATATCCCGGGTCCCAGGGTAGAATAGCTAGGAAGGCTCTCAGATCCCTTTAACAAGCCCCAGGATGCCCCTGGGGACTGAGAAAAGCAGATCACTGCCCTTTTGGACATATCTGGCAACAACTGATATTGTGCCATTCGCGGATGTAATGTTCCCCAAAGAACAAAAGCAGAGAGTGAGTATGCACGGCCTTCTTTAATGGTTTCCAAGAAGAGGGTGGATAGGCACTGGGCAGAGATGGTTTAGGAGTCATATTCCTTCATGTGTGCAGGGGTTGGACCAGATGTCCCTTGTGGTCCCTACCAATCCCTGCATTGTAAAATCCTATGCGCTCCATCTGGCTGGGAGGCTAGGGCACAGCAATTTGCTCCATCCTGAGCTGCTACTCTCCTGGAGAAAGGCAGAGAAGCTGCACACTGTACCGTTGGTGTGGGGAGGCCCCCTTCCTGCTGCTCCTGCAGGGACTGTGCACCCAGGCCAGCAAACAGCCAATTTGAAATGCCCCGGGGAGACCAATGGTGCTTGTCTTTCTCCAGGCAGGTGACCAAGCAGAGCGCCATGACCAGCCATCTGATCAGGGAAGGGCAGGGAGGGGCCTGAGCTCACACGGAGGGAGTCAGGGTGAATGAAGCCTTTCTGCTGTGGCCATTGTCTGCAATGACCCAGGTAAGGGCATGAAAAAGAAGCCCTGAATAGAAAATGAGAGGACTATGGGCTGGATGAAGACATGGGCTAATGCGCTCCATGTGAAGGCACCTTCTAAGCCATGCAGAGCAGAGCCAGCTCTCACAGAAGAGCAAGTGACAGGAGCTGGACTCCTGTGTGGGATGAAGGGAAGGCTGGAGAAGGGCCTGCATGTTGTTGGGGGAAATGCGCTGTTCCGCTTCCCTGGGGAACTTGGCAGGGGAGAGAAGAGATGTCCAAAAAGAGCAGTAATATAGATCCAACAGGAGCAGCAAAGAGGGCATGATTCACTCCCTTCGGTGCCTCATGATCTGGAGATTGAGCTCATGCTGGATCCCAGACCCCCTCTTCCATCCTCAGTGGAGAAATCCTCTGTTGGGGGAAATAGTTATAAGGCTGCAGCGGAGGTGTCTTGGACTCCACAGCATCCTGGAAAGGTTCCTGGCCTGATGGAAACCACGACCTCCCGCTGCATCCCCCATCCTCTGAGCAGAGCCCTTGGTAC